TGACTGACCGGCACCCTTTTTCCCCAATCCTCCTGTGGTGTTTGGTCCTCGTTTTGAAGAGACAGCGCCCCGCGTTCCTCCTCTCCTCTCCTCTCCTCTCCTCTCCTCTCCTCTCCTCTCCTTTCTTCTCCTCTACTCTCCTTTCTTCTCCTCTCCTCTCCTCTCCTCTCCTCTCCTCTCCTCTACTCTACTCTACTCTACTCTACTCTCCTTTCTTCTCCTCTCCTCTCTCTCCTCTCCTATCCTCCCCTCTCCTCTCCTATCCTCTCTCCTCTCTTCCTCTCCTCCCTGCTCACCCTCCTCCCTTCTCCCATCATCATCATCATCATCATCATCATCATCATCATCATCATCATCATCATCATCATCATCATCATCATCATCATCATCATCATCATCTTCATCGTCAGCATGATCATGACCATCATCATCATCATCATCAGCATCATCATCATCAGCATCATCATCATCCTCATCATCATCGTCACCATCAGCATCAGCAGCAGCATCATCATCAGCAGTATCATCATCATCAGCATCAGCATCATCATCATGATCATCATCATCATCACCACCATCATCATCGTCAGCAGCATCAGCATCAGCATCAGCATCAGCATCATCAGCAGCATCATCATCGTCATCGCAACCTCTCCCACACCCAGAACAGCGATTCGTGGCCCCACAGGGAGCTCCACCGAAGGTACCAGTGGCGCAGCCCGCATGCGTCTCGCACACCCAGTACAGCGCTTCGTGGCCCCATATGGAGCTTCACCAAAAGTTCCAGTGGCGCAGCCCGCATGCGTCTCCCCTACCCAATACAGCGTTTCGCGGCCCCGTAAGGAGCTCCACCGAAGGTCCCACTGGCGCAGCCCGCATGCGTCTCGCACACCCAGTACAACGCTTCGTGGCCCCAAAGAGAGCTCCACCGAAGGACCCAGTGGCGCAGCCCGCATGCGCCCCCCCTCCTAGCACAGCGTTTCGTAGCCCCATAGATATCTCCACCGACGGTCCCAGGGCCGCAATCCGCATGTGTCTCCCTCACCGAGTAGAGCGTCTCGTAGCCTCACAAGGAGCTCCACCGAAGGTCCCAGTTGCGCAGCCCGCGTGCGTTTTCCCCACCCAGTACAGCGTTCCGCGGCCCCATAGGGAGCTCCATGGCGCAGCCCGCATGCGCCTGCCCCACACGGTGCAGCGCTGCGTGGCCCCATAGGGAGCCCCACCGAATGTCCCAGTGTCGCAGCCCGCATACGTCTCCCCCACCGAGTACAGCGCGTCGTGGCCCCATTTGGAGCTCCACCGACGGCCCCAGAGCCGCAGTCCGCGTGCGTCTCCCCCACCGAGTACAGCGCTTCGTGGCCCCATAGGGAGCTCCACCGAAAGTCCCAGTTGCGCAGCCCGCGTGCGTCTCCTTGACCGACCCACTACAGCGCTCCGAGGCCCCATAGGGAGCTCCACGGACCGTCCCAGTGGCGCAGCCCGCATGAGTCTCCCCCGCCTGGTACAGCGGTTCGTGGCCATAGAAGGGGGCCCCACCGAAGACGATACCTACAACTGCGGTATGCACAATTGCATATGGTTGGGTCCTTCGCCAGGACACTTTCTGCACGCGCAACTGCCTGCCAGTTGCCCCATAGACACACGCGAGCGCCTTCGCGGAGTTGACCCAGTTGGCCGAGAGGTAAAAAGGTGTTTGTGCCTGCTGCATGACGGTGAACAGCGCGACCAGCAACAACAACACACTTCGAACAATGAGACGTGCTGTACTTCGTTCGCCAACCATCTCAAATGGCGATTTCCTAGCTGCCCCCATGGACAAGCACTGGGGTCTTCCCGCCTGTGGCCACGCCAGTGAATGGGACCCGAATGGGCATGTCGGCCCCCCCTCCTTTCCTTGGCGAGAGCAAGGGGTACCGATACCGCTACTCCCCGGACCTCTCTTGGGGTGCGTTCTGACTAGGATTTCGAGGCGAATCCAGCGGCGGGCGGAGGGTAGAGGTATGGGTAATTTTTCCTACTCTGACCTCTGGCCTTCTTTCAGGATGGGAGAGTCGACCGCGTCCGCACGTGGTCTCGCCGCCGGCTCCAACAAGTGTACGTCGTATGTCTTCGTGCGTGCGTGTGCAAAGGGGACGCGCAGAAACATGCTGGTGCTACATGTCCTCCTCGGACGCGTGCGTCCGACCCGAACATCTATAGGGGGCGCGCACAAAGTGGTAGGAAGAGGGGGGATGGCTTCTTAGAAAGAGGCTGCTTCTTAGAAGGCGCCTGCCCTGCACCTACAGACAAGGCCCGCGCCTTCTAATAATCAGGGGTGCTTGTAAGAAGCCCTCCCCCCTTCCCCCGCTCCCCTCTGCGCGTGGCTGACATGTAGTAAAGCCATCTTGCAGTAGATCGTTTCCCGAGCGGCGCGGCCAGAAAGCGCCCGCCACGAGGCAGACACTGTGAGATATTTCTCCGTGAGCGCGTGGCCCCAGGGGGGGGCCGACGCATACGTAGTGTTAGCATGTTGAAGTAGCGCCGATGCAATGAGCTTGCGGATGACCTGGAGCGCGCATTACTGCGGTGGGGGCATTCTTGATTATCATTATTATTGTCATTCTCACTATTATCAGTATTACTATTATTAATATGATTATCCGAATTAGTAGTATTATTATTATCGTACCCTTACTATGAGTATGATGATGATGTTGTTGATGATGTTGTTGTTGATGATGATGATGATGATAATGATGATGAGTATCATTCTTATTTGAAATAAAAAACTTCGAAGGCCCGACAGGGCCCGTGTGTGCACGGAATTCTTTCTGCGGGCTGAGCCCTAGCCGCCGACGCGGGGGCCCGCCGCCGCCGCCCGCTCACCTCCCGCCGCCAAGCCTCTGGCCCGCGCCTGCGCCAAGTCGGGGAACCCGTACACGCGGGCCACGGCCTCCAGGGGCGGCATGATGAGCTCTGCCTCGTGCTCGGAGCGGGCGGCGGCTGCCGGGGCCCGCTGTGCTGTCTCTCTGCCCGCAGCTGGCTGCGCCTCGGGCCACTCCGCCGCGCTGGCTGGGGCCTGCACACCAGCTGGATCTGCCGCCCCGTTATTGCCTCCCAAGCCTTTCGCCTCAGCGCCCAGCTTCTCGGCCCACTGCATCTTGATGGCCTCTGTCTGGGCCAGCAGCTCGCCGAACGGCTGCTCGTGCCAGGGAGCCTCCCCTTCTGCAAGTTGGTCCTGGCCTGGGCCCGCGACACTTTTCGAGGCGTGGCGGCCGCCCCGCGACAGGGATCGCGGAGCCCCCTCCGCACCATCTTAGGCGTCCTGGCGTACCTGTAGCACTTCGTGCAGACTAGGAACGGCGCCTCAGGGTCTGCAGCCTCCTGGGCAAACTCCTTGCTCAACGCCACCACCGTGCTACGGGTCTTGGCGCCCGCTCGTTCGTACAAGTCCTGCTTCGGTGTTGCACCGGTTCTCACTATACCTGAAGGCTCGATGCTGTCAGTTTCGGTGGGTGGAAGCCTCCCAGACCGTCTTGTCGGCTCTTGCGAATCGATGCCAATCGACGCTGGTCGACGTTGAATCGACGCTAAATCGACGCTGTCCCATCGACTCCCAGACGCTCATCGACTCTAGTCGACGCTAAAGACAGAATTGCGTGGGTACACAGGGCTCCCATGATTTGCAACCGAATATCGCTTGTGCTTCGGCGCCGCACTGCGACTCCACTGCTGGCGGCCCCATACGTGGGCGCCCACGGTTTCCTCGGAGCCCCCCTCAGGAGTCACACGTTCGGCACTGTCTGGGGGTCGCCAGCCACCTGCTCGTCTCTTTCGCTCGCCTGACCCGTTGCCTGCGTCTCCCTTACCTGTGATATTAGAGGCCTCCTAGGTGGGGTCCGAGTACATGGGGTCGGAGGATCGCGCCGTATCGCCAATGCATCGCCGATGCATCGCCGATGAATAGGCGATGCACTGGCGATGCACCAGCGACGCAGGCGATACATCGGCGAAGTCGAAGTGGAGAAAATCGGGCTCCGCATCGAACCACATCGCCGAAGCATCGGCGATGCGGCGCGATCCGCTGACTTTATCTATTCCGACCCCATCGAGGAGGCCTATAGATATGCGTGTATGTTTGTCGAAGTCGCCGGTATGTTTCCTCGTTCGCGGCCCTCCTAAGGCTCACTGTGCGCTAGGACTAGATCAATCTCTGCCGACGAACTACCCGCTGGCCACGGCGCCTTTCCGGATTGTCGAGCAGCTCGCCCCCCTCCCCAGCTTGGCGTCCGTCTCTCGTTTAACTCTTGCGTCTCTTTTTCCTGCGTGCGCCCGGTCTGTGCTGCCCAAGTGGTCGGCTATACCCGTCTCTGACTGGGATTATCAGCTTTGCTGACGCTCCCACTTTGCGCGTGTCTCGCCTTCGTACTGCTTGAACAATCGATTGCACCCTATCAGCGCTCCATGGGAAAAGTGTGTGTGCATATATGTGGAAGGGCGTGAGGTGTGGGTGTGGGTTTGGGTATCGGCGGGCAGACGAGTGTTTGCCTGAGTAGGTGACTCGGTGATGGGCTGAGTCAATAGGATGCGTGATTGGATGAGTGAGGACTGGGCACAGGTATTTGAGTAGAAGTGCAAGTGAGAATGTGCATGACCAAGTGGGTGGTTGGGTGAATGACTGGTGGTAGGGTTAGCGCCTGAATGGGTAGAAACATAATGTAAACGGTCACGACGTGCGTTCTTTCCTCAGCCGTTGGGGATCGCTGATCAAATCAACGTGCCAGCCACAAAGACAGCACATGAGAAGCTGATGCGAGTGTTGTAGCGCTCCTGTTTGACCCTGTGATGATTTGAGCACGACAACTCTCCAGAGGTCTCCAACAGCCTCCAATATCTGTAGAAGTCCCGGGAAGACTCTGGAACCCCGCGAGGTCCGCAGATGCCTCCAAAAGGCCGAACGCGTTCAAACCTCAATCCTCGAACTTCAATCCTCCGCAACCCAAACTCCCCAGTCTTGCGGCCTTGAGCCGCTCCGCCAGCACCGACAGCTCCACGTCACCAGGCGCCACCTCGGGCGGAAGAGAACGACACAAGGAAGAATTCGTACGAAGGGGCCGTGTATCAAATCTCGCGTGTGGCTGAGCGCTCTCAGAGCCGACTTTCTACTGTCTGTGAATGGGCGCTTCAAGGCAAAGGGAGCCGTGACGAATACTAAAACGGTTGCCACGCATTGCAATTGCACGTGCTCTTTTTGAGCAATAGGTGTCGGTGCGATATCCCACTCCATCATAACATTTGGTCTTTGACACGTGTACACCGTGAAACTATTGGTCTATGTTTGACTTGGGTGTTGAGGGCACCGTCGGGACACCATAGTTCAAGATCGGGGTACCACCAAGAGACCATAAAAACGCAGTCGAACATCAACCGAGGCACGGTCGACAGTCAATCGTCACCATCGCGACACCACCAAGCCGCAGTCGGACCAGCGTCGGGACACCCTCGTGACGCCGCGACGGGGCACCACGATATCGCACGCCAAGACACCCCCAGCCCCTTGGCTGATTGGCGTTCAACAAGAAGAGGAAGGTCCCGTTCCGCCCAGCAACGGGCTAAGGTCAATCCACGCACGGCGCACACATTCGCACGCGCATCAAAGGTCGACACCCGACACTGTGTCTTCTCGATGGCAGGCAACCTCGCAGAAATGAGCTCACTGGCAGCAGCATATTCTTGCAAAGCAAGTTTGCTTCAGTGAGGCTGTTTGTCAATGAGCTAATGAGCTTACAAGTGTTTGGTCCTAGATTTTTTGTTCAGCGATACGTTGCAGTGTTGTTGGATATCTGTGGAGCCCCGAGTCTCTAATGTTTAAGCTGTCGCCGCACCAGTAGACCATCTGCTCGCAGCGCACGCTCGTGTTTACACCTCGTTGCAAACGTCCTCCGCCCACCCTCGATGCACAGGCATCACCGAGTTGTCACCCCGAGCAGGTTTGTCCCAGGACGCACCGCTGCGAGCCAGGCGCGACGCCAGAGCCCCCGCGGCGGTGCGTGCGGCAGCCACGCGCTGCAACCGATGTGCCGTCAGGCCACGGTGATGACTGAGCACGCTCGTGCCGAGCGAGGCGGCAGCCTCGAATCGCGGCGTAGCGCAGCGTTTCAAGCATACCAGCGGCGCTTCGCGCGACCCACATCCGCGTGCTGGTCGGACACGGGCTTGTCGGTGCTACTGTCGTGCGGCGCACGTAAGACACCGATCTCCGCCACACTGGGGGTGCAAGGAGGAAGGATACCAACCAACCCTTCGACCACAGAGCATCCATGAGGTAGGGTACGCCATGGCCGCTACGCTTGTTGGCTACACCAGTCGCAGCAGGCTCGTGGACCAAACCAAACTTGTCACTCAGAGCCCATACCGCCATCCTTACTGAGAGGTTGGGGAGATTCTGAAGCGACAACCACCCCACTGTTTCGGTCGCCACGGCGAACAATACCGTGGGTGCGGCGGCTGTAGATGGGACGCGGCCCATCCATCACTCAAATGACAGAGGAAGCTGTGCCCGCCATCCTACACGGTTGAACCCAAGCCACCATGGACCAGACTGCGTTGATACCCAAGTGGGCCCCAAATTGCATAATCACAGCTCAGCGCCAAGAAACAAGCACAGTCCATAAGATCTCAGAGCATTGACGTGCGAATGTCGCGGGGATCTGTGCGTTTTGCTCAGGGTCTCGACCTCATGATAGAATGCCGGACACTCAGTCCGCCACTCACACCAAAACACTTCTTGCAGCTGAGCTGACCATACCCGAGACAAGATGCCCTCGAAAGTGTCGAGTGCACATTGACCGCGTCACACCCAGAGGCGAACGAAAAGGCAACCGTTGGCATTCTGGGCGCGTGTGGAGGTCTCATGGCAGCTATACTCCGTTTTCGAAAGCTTATAGGATCAACCTGCGATTGGTTGGGTCGAACCATCGGCCCTGCACGACGATCATCGACGCCGCCAAGGGATCGGGGAAGACGGGCACCGGCAAAGAGTCGGGCCCCAGAGGGTGCTCGACGGTAAGTCCCGTGTGAGCAGCACGGGAGACAGCAAGCGCATCAGGCAGAACTGGCTGGCGAGGCCACAGCCTCCATACTTGGAAGTGCGCGCCGATCATCGCCAATACCTTCAATATTGAGCCACGGAAAGGCTACGCCTTGCTCGGATCCAGGACAGCTGTGAGCGTCCTAAATGAGGTGATGCTCAGTCCGAGAGGCCAACCCCTCTCCCGAAGCAACCAGGACCGAATCGATTGCCAGCCTCAGGCGCCCTGGAGAGATTAGAGGGGAGCCGGGAAGTGCGATTCGCAACGCAGGGCCAGCCAGCACCTCCAAGACGACTCGCATCACTGTCAGAAAAAAAAACGGTTCTGTGCGGTGGAAGCTCCTCCGCATGGGCTAGTTGGCGGCGCGCGCAAGGGGGTAGGGGGAAGGGGGAAGGCTTCTTAGAACAATGCCACTTCTTAGAAGGCGCTGGCCTTTCATCTGCTACAGACAAGACCCCCGCCTTCTAAGAAGCAGGGGTGTTTCTAAGAAGCCTTCCCCCCTCCCCCTACCCCAGATGCGCGTGGCCGAACTAGGTGAGCGTGCCTGTGGATGACAGTGTCGCAACTCGTCTCGAGAGCAGCCGGGGTCGTCTGCGGAGTGGCGAGGCCCTGTAGCTCGAGGCTCAGCCTGCTCCTACTCCGCGACCCGCCGCATATTGACTGAGGCTCGAGAGGCCTTCGTTTGCAGGGTCGGCATGCTCGGGTGCATGAGGTGCCAGGCGGGGGAGTCGAGCAAGCTGTAGGGATGTGTATTACCAGCACCATGAGCACAAGCAAATGCACGCACGCGGGAAAGATCAGGGTGAAGCAGCCTGTCCAACTGTCATCTACGAAGATCAACTAACTCACTATGCACATGGACAGCGCAAGCTCTTGAATGGTCATGTGTTGCCCAATCGATGACACGGGGCCGCACAATGTGTGCCAACCAAGGTCAGCACAACACAGACTGGTGACGAGTCGTCAAGTAAACTGGCTCCATATTCCAACGTCCAATTACTTTGCCCAGTGAGGATGGGAATATTTAGAGCAATTCAATCGGGTCGCATATCCGCAACACTATCCGGATATTATCCGAGTCAGAGGTGCTCAACGGCTAAACACGAAAGAACGATCAATGCCACGGGCAACATCATAACACCTGAGCCGCATGAAAGGGCAAACGCCATCAAGACTGCTACAACGGACTCATTTCTATAGTGCTCATTTCCATAGTTCGCACTTTCGTTTTGAGGTCCGCAAGGGGCCGCACATGCACACACATGCCGCACAGTCGCATCGCATGCCCATGTAACACTGCAGAAGCTTCAATCGCATGGCCGCACATGTGCGCACATGCCACACAGTCCGATGCACAGTCGAATGCACAGTCTGGACAAACTCCGAAAATATAAACGCACCTGCCCGGACATGCCGCATATTCGAAGTCTCGGATGGGGGACAGGGAGACAAATTTGGAGGAAAAGCTAGAGGACACAGGAATGAGAGAAGGAGCGAGGGAGAAGAGGGAAGCGGATGTGGCTGGCGTTCGAGCGGCAACACCACACCCAAGTAAGAGACGTGGCAGACGACAGCACCGATCGAACAAAGAGATGTGGCCAACGCTCGGATGTATCACGCGAAGATGTCTCAGGCGAAAGTGGCCTGACACCCTCAACCCGGGGATCTCGGAACCCAGAGCTGCGAGGATGTCTCAGGCAAAAGTGACCGGACAACCATGGGGCAGGACATCTCCGAGATCAGAGTTGCGAGGATATCTGGGGCGAAAGTGGCCTGACCACCTGAGCTCAGGGCATCTCGGTACCCAGAGTTGCGAGGATGTCTCAGGCGAAGGTGGCCGGACCACCATGGGGAAAGGCATCTCCGAGGTCAGATTTGCGAGGACGTCTCAGGCGGAAATGGCCTGACCACCTGAGCTCAGGGCATCTCGAAACCCAGAGTTGCGAGGATGTCTCAAGCGAAAGTGGCAGGACCACCATGGGGCAGGGCATTTCCGAGGTCAGAGTTACGAGGATGTCTCAGACGAAAGTGGCAGGACCACCTCAGCTAAGGGCATTTCCGATCTCAGAGTTGTGACGAGGGCTCAGGCGAAAGTGGCCTGACCATCTTAGACTAAGGCATTTCCGAGGTTAGAATTGCGAGGCGGAGATGGCTGGACTTTGGTCGGACATGTCCTCCTACAGGCGGATTTGGGAAGAAAAATTAGAAACAGTCAAATCATACTCCAACAAACATTCCCCCGACTATTTTTTCTATGTTCGAATATTCTGCCTGTAGAGGGACATGCCCGACTTAAGGCTGGACCACTGCTCTGCCGTCCTGTTCCTGGCAGCGAACGCGGGCAGCGCAAGCGCCGCGCGTGCCCGAGCAGGGCTTGAGCGGGGCGCTGGGTGAGTCGGGGCCGCCCCCCGCCTGGCCGGCCCCGGCATTCTTTGAAGGGGCCCTGGGACACACAAACAAGCAGACACAAATCCCAGGGGTCCCCATATCTTGTCATATTTTCTGGATTTTCGTCTCCCCCCCCCCGCTTCCCAGATTTTCCCATGTCTTCCTGGGGGTCGTCGATTCATAGTGTCTGTGTGGTTTTTTCCCTCCTGATTTCGTCTTCCTGGGGGTCGACGATTCTTTGTGTCTGTGTGGTTTTCCCCCCCTCTGATTTCTGCAGGTCCCGCACTTGCCGCGCCCAGCCGCGCGCAGCATCTGCGCAGGCCGGAGCTCGCCGGGTGGCCGACCCACAGGCAGGCGGTTCTGGTGCCAAGATGGCGGACGGCCCGGTGCGTCTCCAGGAGTTGGCGGCGCGCACAGGGGGGGTAGGGGGGCGGGGGGGCGGCTTTTTAGGAGGAGGCTGCTTCTTAGAAGGCGCGGGCCTTACATGTACGGAGGAGGCCCGCGCTTTCCACGAAGCAGGGGTGTTTCCAAGAAGCCTTCCCTCCTCCCCCTGGCCCGCTCTGCGCGTGGCCGAAGGAAATCCACGCGGGACTTCTTGAGTCCCATCTTCTCGGAACCCAGAGCTCCGAGGGCGTCTCACGCGAAACGGGCCGGGACACTTCAAGACTTGCATCTAAGGAGGTCCTGAGCGATTCGGGGCAGATCACCTCGAGTCAGAGCATCTCCGAGCCCTGAGTTCTGGGGATGTCCCACGCGAAACAGGCCTCCTCCTCCTCCTCGACCGCTTTCTCCTTTGTTTGTTCTCTCTCTCTCTCTCTCTCTCTCTCCCTGGATGCTCTTCGCCAGCATGCCGTCCGAGATTCTGGTTGCGAACGCCTCCTCCTCTTCGTCCTCCTTCATGCCCTCCCCCCGTTTGGCTCCCCTACCCATCCGTCTGATTCCCTCCCTCCCTTCCTCCTCCCCCTCCACCTCCTGCTCCTCCAGCCGAGGCAAGCTGGAGCGCGGGAGAGCGATTTGAAGAGGGCACGCCAACAAGCTCTGCACGGCCACTGGAGGACAAAAGGGTGAAGCACACAGACGTGACTCGCGAGCGAGGGAAATGCTCCTGTCAACAGTGGGCGAGTCAAGCGCACAAGCTCTCTCCCCTCGTGGCCGCGGAAAGTTTTGGAAAGCCCTGGCAGGCCCCAGGAAACCCTGCGGAGGCCACGAGGCGTTGGAGCCGCTTCTGGGGATCCAAGACAGCTACCAGGGCATGTGCGGAAACGTGCGTGGGCATGTGCGACCGTGTGCGGATGCGCGCTGCAACGCATGTGCGTGCATGTGCGGGCCCGCGCGGCTATCCGCAAGGGGATTGCACAGGCCACAGGCAAGTACGTGGATGTGCCGCTGGTAGATCTGCGAACGATAATCGCACCCCTGCCGCACGTGCAGGCACGTGCGGGCATGTACGTCGGCATGCGCGGGCATGTGCAGACAAAGGGTGTACCACACACAGCGCACATGACCCTGCATATGCCTGGGTGCGCACGCACGATAGGATATCCAACCCCGAGGGCACGCACATGCCAGGCTCATGCCGCGCTCACGCACGCAAATGCCAGCGCAAACGCGGCCGCACATACATCCGCCCAAGGGTATAGAAATGACTGCGGTGCTGGAAGATCCGGAACGATGGCGTTTGGGCACTCCGCCGGAGTATGGTGATACATTGTGCCATCAGCTGGTGGGGAAGGAGAAAGAAGAGCAGCAGCAGGAGCAAGAGGAGGAGGAGGAGGAGGAGGAGAAGGATGACAACCGATGTCAATGGCGGTGGCGACGACAACCACCACACATTCTTCTCGTGTGCCTTCGTCATATCTGACCAGTATTAACAAGCCCACCGCAGCGGGGGGCACGACGACGGCACGCCAGACAACGGACGCTGCAAATAAAAGTACTCATCGCTGCTCCGAGTGCAATCACCACTGTTGTCAGGCTGGGCGGAGGCTTTGTGATATTCCCCCTCATCCTCCTCGCCCTCATCCTCTGTCTCCTCAACCTCCTGCTTGACTCCTCCTCAAGTTATGATCCCCCCCTTCTTCTGATCATTATGTTCCTGCTCCGCCTCCTGCTCTCCCTCCCTCTCATCCTGATCATCCTGCTGATGGTGATCCGTGTCCTCATCATCCATTATGCTCCTTCTCCTCGTTATCCTCCTACCCTCCTCATTCTACCTCCTTGTTCTCTCTCCCTTTCGCTCTCTCTCTCTCTCTTTCTCTGGCTCTCTCTCTCTCTCTCTCTCACCCGCCCGTGAGGACACAAGTTTGAGGGGCACGACGGTGACGCGGAGGAGGAGGAGGAGGAGGAGGAGGAGAGGAGGAGGAGGAGGAGGAGGAGAGCATCAGGATACAGGTGTGGTGGGGGGACTTCAAGGCGCCTCCTCCTCCTCCTCCTCCTCTCCTCCTCCTCCTCCTCCTCCCTCCTCCTCCTCCCTCCCCTCCTCCTCCTCCTCCTCCCTCCTCCTCCTCCTCCTCCTCCTCCTCCTCCTCCTCCTCCTCCTCCTCCTCCTCCGGCGATCCGAGGCCGCGCGCCTCGCCCGCAGCCCGCCGCGCCCCTGCGCCTGGCGGGGCGGCGCGCCATCGCCCAGGCACAAGGGGCGAGGCCTCCTCGCCCTCCTCCCCCTCGCCCTCGCCCTCCTCCCTCCCTCCCTCCCTCCCTCCCTCCCCCTCCCTCCCTCCCTCCCTCCCTCCATCTCCTCCTCCTCCTCCTCCTCCTCCTCCTCCTCCTCCTCCCTCCTCCTCCTCCTCCTCCTCCTCCCCCTCCCCTCCTCCTCCTCCTGCTCCCCCTCGCCCTCCTCCTCCTCCTCCTCCTCCTCCTCCTCCTCCTCTCCTCCTCCTCCTCCTCCTCCCCCTCGCCCCCCTCCTCCTCCTCCTCCTCCTCCTCCTCCTCCTCTCCTCCTCCTCCTCCTCCTCCTCCTCTCGTCACCACATTGTCCTTTGTCCTGCTCCTCCTCCCTCCTCCTCTCCCTCCTCCTCTCCCTCCTCCTCCTCCTCCTCCCTCCTCCTCCTCCTCCTCTCCTCCTCCTCCTCCTCCTCCTCATCATCATCATCATCATCATCATCATCATCATCATCATCATCATCATCATCATCATCATCATCCTCGTCTTCCTCCTCCTCCACCGCCTTCTCGTCCTCATCAACCTCTCATCCGGCAGGACCTACGGGAGAAGGCACTGCAAGTGGAGGCATTAGTGGAGGGGAAGGAGAGGGCATGAAGGGCGAGAAGTCCAATGGGGGGTAGAAGAGAGGGAGAGGGGGACGACATCAATAGCACCAACCACGTTAACACTACTACTGCGTTCCATTTCCTCGCGTGCCGTGCAGCATGTATACCCCGAGCTCTCGGTTCCCGCTCTCTTCGTTTGTGAACGTGTCCCTTGAAGCCTGGGGCGGGGGCCTTGACCCTGCAGGGGCTGGAAGCCCCAGACAGGCGACTGGCAGGCAAGACACAGACGGGCAGTCGGGCCGGGTCGGGCGAGCCCTCCATCGGGCGGCCGGGGCGGGCCCGTCTGCTGTCGACCGGGTCGGTCGGACCAGGACGGCCGGGCTGCGCGGGCTCTCACGGGGCAGGTCTGGCCACGCTCCAGGCAGCCGAGCGCAAGGGCTCCCAACTTCGCGCTTCGCGCGGCGCGAAGCGCGCAGCGCGAAGAGCTTCGCGCTCTCGCGCCGCCTCCCAGGGGAGAAGAGGAGGACGAGGAGGCAGGGGAGCCGCACCGCGAAGCGCGAGGCGCGAAGAACTTCGCGCCCTCGGGGGCGCCCCTGGAGCGGGCGCACCGCGGCAGGCGGGGGCCCGGCGGGCGGGCCTGGGCTGGCGGCCCGGGCGACCGGGCCCCGACGGGGGGGGTCGGCAGGGCGCGGGCACGGACGCGGGCACGGCCGGCGTCAGATGCACCGCGCGGGCGGGCGGGGCCGAGGCGCCCAGAACACCTGCCGGCCCTGCGCTCCCTTCGGGAGGGTCGGGAGGGGGGGCCCCGAACTGAAGGGGCCCAAGGGCACACACAAAGAAATACACACCAATAACAGGAGTCTCAATATTTATTTATTTATTTATTTATTTATTTATTTCTATATATATATATATATATATATATATATTTGGGGGGGGGATTGTCGTCTTCCCCCCCACACTTCCCATATTTTTCCATACTTTCCGGGGAATCGACGACTCATTGTCTCTGTGTGCTGTTTGTTCCCTCCCGACGGACGGGCCACAAAGGGCGGGCGGATCTCCAAAGGAGGCGAACGGGCGAGCCCTCCCGAGCGGATCGGGGAGGCGGATCCTCGAGGGCGTGTCGCGCGGGGCGGGCCAGGACGGGCGGGTCCGCACGGTTCCTGAGTGGCGAGGTCAACAAATGAATGCTCGGGGAAGCGAGCAGAACAGCTGGTATGCTTCCCCGTGGAGCGCAATGTTGGGAGAAGGTCGGGGAACGCAAAGGGGAAGGAGAGTGCGAGGCACGATGCAGCGATGCAGGAGAATAGCCTCGACTGCGCACTGAACCGACTCAACTGGCTGTCCAGCGAGCGTGGCCGAAATTCCAGCACTCGGTGTCGACCGCAGGGCAAACAATGCAAAAACCTGCAATGGGCGCGGACTCGGGAAGAGGGGGAAAGAGGAGGAGGATGAGGATGAGGAAGAGGAAGAGGAAGAGGAAGAGGAGGAGGAAGAGGAGGAGGAGGAGGAGGAGGAGGAGGAGGAGGAGGATTTTGACGTGGACCTCCGCTGACCAGCCGCTTCGCTAGCCGGATAGAAAGTGGCCTGACCTTGGCGGTGACGCCCGCAGGCCGCACCCCGGCAGGCCAGGAAGACGGACCCGGGATCAGCGCCGCAGCGCGGGCAGCCGGGGCTCACTGCGGGGACACGGCGGCGCCGAGGCCGAGCCTCACTTGAACGAAGGATTGCAAAAAAACCCAAACGAAGGATCGCAAAAAAACGAAGGACTGATTGCAAAAAAAACACCTTCGCTGCAATCCTGCACCCGCTGCGCCGCAGAGAAACCCTCAGGCACGACGAGGCGCTCTGCTCCGCTCGCTGGCCTGCTGCGTGCAGCAGCCCGTGTCTGCAGCACTGCTCGAGGAGAACTGCCGGCGGCTGAGCAAACGACGGCACGCGTGCACAGTGTGGGCGGGCGGCCTGTCCTGCCGGCGGCCGAGGATCCGGAGCGCCTCGGCGACTCTGCCGCGGGCCGCGGCCTGGACCGATGCAGCAGCTGGCCTCCGTGGCTTCAATTGGCGGCGCGCACGAGGGTAAAACGACGCGAAGGTCGGGACAAAATAGGATTGGGATAACTCGAAATCTCTGAGAATCGGCGGGTTTGGAGGATGTATTCGGCGCCGCGGCCGCTCCAGAGCGTTCCGGAACGCTCTGAGAGCGCTCCGGAACGCTCTGGAGCGATTTATCCCGATCCTAGCCCTGTTTTAAAGGGGGTGCGGGGAGGGGGAGGGCTTCTTAGAAGCAGGCTGCTTCTTAGAAGGCGCCGGCCTTACATCTATAGATAAGGCCCGCGCCTTCTAAGAAGCAGGGGTGCTTCTAAGAAGCCCTCCCCCCTCCCCCCACCCCCCCCCTCCCCCCACCCCCCTCTGCGCGTGGCTGATTCAAGCACGGCGGTCGGAAACTTGCTGCCCCTTCCCGAGCTCGTCACGAAGGGGTGGCGGCGACTGCTCGAGCGCGGCCGTCGATCGACGTGGGTCTCGCGCCACGGCGGTCGCGCCTTTGTGCGCGGACTTCTGCTACCCCGAGCCCCAAAAATGCTGCCATCTCCCTTGGAGGGCAACCCTTTACGTCCGCCGCCTTCCGCCAGCCTTCCGCCGGCTTCCGCCGACGGAGGCAGCCTCGGTTTGCTTCTGCCGACCTTCCGCCGCCCTGCCGCCGAGGCAGGGATGACACCTCCTTCGGTCCTCGAAGGCAGGGCCCCTTCTGGAACGCCCCATATGGATATAGTTAGCCGCCGAGGCAGGGATGACAACTCCTTCGATCCTCGAAGGCAAGGCCCCTTCTGAAACACCCCATGTGGATATCATCGGCCGCTCCAGGGCCCGAACGTATCTCCACATCCACGGCCTGCCGAGGTCCCCGAAGATCGATCCCTCGGGCGGTGGTCAGGGACAAATCCCCGCCTGGATGGTTGTATGTTTTTTCGTCTGCGCCTTGTCTTTGTAATAACAAATATTTGCACAAACAAGCAAATCCCCGCCTCGGGGTTTGTGTATGTTTGACGGTCTGGGCCTGTGCGTCCGCGGCCAGGCACTGCTCCAGGAGCGAACTCTCGCGCAAATCGCTGCCGCTGAGAGACGAGGGACGCCCCCGTCTTCGGCACCCGCCGGCGGCATTCTGGCCCGCGGCAGCCGCGGACAGCTCCACCTCCACACGGCTCTGGGGGGAGGCGACGAAGGGCCCGTCGCTCGGCTTGATGGTGATATGGCCCTTCTCGTACAGTCAAAAACCCTAATAAGGACGCGCGGTAAGGACGCAAGATCCTTGGAAGCCGAAGTTGGGATTTCTGGGGCGGCGGACGACGAAAACCTCAAGGACGCAAGAGCAAGGAAGAGCAAGGACGCAAGGGTACCCTGAGCAAAGTCGCGCGTCCTTCTTAGGGTTTTTGACTGTAGGCGCGGACCGCTCGTCGCATCAAAGATTATCGGGAGAGCGTTGCTCGGAGCGCCTCCACGCAGGCAGAGATGTTTTACAGCAATCTCCGCCTAAAGGGGGGTGACTTCGGCAAACATGGCGGGAGGGACAGGGGGAAGAGGAGGAGAGGGAGGCGAGGCCGCCACCGTCGCCACGCCTTCGGCTCCCGCGGCCAGTCCGACCACAGAGGGTTCTGCGACCTCCTCGTCGCCTCCCCCCTTTCTCCCCCTCCTCCGTGCTCCCTCGTCCTTGCTCCTCCGCCCGCTCCTCCCCGCCCTCCTCCCGCGCGCCATCGTTGTCCGCTCGGCCGCCTCTGGAGCGAGGAACGTCGGCCCCTCCGAGGCTGGAGCGCTCCGGCGACCGCCGCGCGTGGGGCGCGCGGAGGGCATACGTATTCGCAGACGGTTAACCAGCTGAAGTAGCGTCCGACCGACACCCCTCCCTCCTCCTTGTGAGCAGGAGCCGGCCGTCCCGGCATTCCGAGGGGCCTACCGGGAGCTGCTCTCAGGAAAAAATAATGCTCGAAACACAGAAACAGCTGTCTTAGAACAAAGAGTCGACGCATAGAAGCAGGGCGACATCAGCCAGCAATCATCTAAGAACATTTCGTCAGAGGACTCCTAGATGGAGTCCGAGTAGAGGAGGTCGGAGAATCGCGCCGCATCGGCGATGCATCGGCGACGCTTGCGATGCATCGGCGCCGTCGGCGGGGAGAAAATCGAGCTCCACATCGAGCCGCATCGGCGATACATCGGCGACGCGGCGTGATCCTCCGACCCCTCTGCTCGGACCCCACCTGGGACGCCTAGAGGGGAGGAGGAGGAGGAGGAGGAGGAGGAGGAGGAGGAGGAGGAGGAGGAGGAGGAGGAGGAGGAGGAGGAGGAGGATGATCAGGAGGAGGAGGAGGAGGAGGAGGAGGAGGAGGAGGAGGAGGAGGAGAAGGTGGAGGAGTAGGTGGAGAACGAGGAGGAGGCCTGTAGTTTTCAGAACTTTCTATGGTGGGCCTGGACCTCTTAGAACATTCTGTGGTGGGCTATAGGCAAGCCAGGACGCTTCGCCTCTGCTCGATCTGGCGGCGCGCCGGGGGTAAAATCAGGGGAAGGGGGGAAGGCTTCTTAGAAGGCGGCTGCTTCTCAGAGGGCGCCGGCCGTACGTCATACATACACAAGGCACTGGGACCTTCGGTGGGGTTCCCTGTGGGGCAACGAAACGCTGTACTGGGTGGGGGGGGACGCATGCGGACGGTAGAACTGTGACCTTCGATGGGGCTCCCTATGGAGCCACGAAACGCTGTACTGGGTGGGGGGGACGCATGCGGACGGTATCACTGGGACCTTCAGTGGGGCTCCCTATGGGGCCACGAAACGCTGTAATGGGTGGGGGTGACGCATGCGGACGGTAGCACTGGGACCTTCAGTGGGGCTCCCTATGGGGCCACGAAGCGCTGTACTGGGTGGGGGGGACGCATGCGGACGGTAGCACTGGGACCTTCGGTGGGGGGCTCCCTATGGGGCCACGAAACGCTGTACTGGGTGGGGGGGACGCATGCGGACGGTAGCACTGGGACCTTCGGTTGGGGCTCCCTATGGGGCCACGAAACGCTGTACTGGGTGGGGGGACGCATGCGGACGGTAGCACTGGGACCTTCGGTGGGGCTCCCTATGGGGCCACGAAACGCTGTACTGGGTGGGGGGGACGCATGCGGACGGTAATGGGGCCACGAAACGTGTGAGGGGTATGCTGAAACGGGTGATGATGATGATGATGATGATGATGATGATGATGATGATGATGATGATGATGATGATGATGATGATGATGATGATGATGATGATGATGATGATGATGATGATGATGGTGGTGGTGGTGGTGGTGGAGGAGGGAGGACGGGGAGGAGGAGAGGAAAGGAGGAGAACGCGGGGCGACGTCTCTTCAAAACGAGGACCCAACACCACAGGATGGTTGGGAAAAATGGCAGCGGAACCAGCAACAGAAACGGCCAAGCGGAACCAGTGAAAAAAGGGCCCTGTCGTAACCAGGGCCCTCTGAGCTACCCCCCGCTGCGCTTGTTTGGTTGACCCAAAAGGGGGTCCAGCTGAAAAGGGGTCGTACACTTGTATTGCAAATGTATTGCGTCAGAGAATCGCATTGCATTGTATCGTTGCAACTCATGTATGGCACGCGAAAGCCGATGCGCACTGGAATGCATTGCACGCCCCAAGTCGATTGCAACCCCACAAACCTACTGCACCACATCTATCGGGCCGGGCGAAAGGGAGGGATAGCAAGGGGGGGGGTTGAGAATCAGCTCACGTAGCTGATTTTCCCGGCGCCTCCCGGCGCCGGAGGCGCCCACGTATCGAGGAATGGGCCCCTCGGTGGGGCCGAAACCAGCTGCATGCAGCAGATTTCGTAACCCCTCCTCTCCCAATCCCCCCCTTTCGTCCGGCCCGAATCTATATCGGGAGCGGCTAAGAGGCGGGTCCAAGAGGGGGGGGGTGCAAATCATGACCGGCGGCATGTGCGCGGCCCAGCAGGGGGGCCAGGGACGTAATGAAACAATAAGAAGCGCCACGAGATCTGGGGAAATATCATGGCCCACGCCATGATATCCACCCCCCCCTATAGTCATCACCCCCCTCTTTCCCGCCCCCGACTATAGCACCACCTCCCGAGTCAACCAGAGCCTGGCCGATCGATCCGTCCTCCTCCGAGCGGCCGTCCTGGCCTGTTGCTCCGGCGGCCGCTCCGGCCGCGGGGGGCGCCGCGCCCTCTCGGCCGGGAGCCGCGCGGGCCGCCTCGGCACTGGGCGCGAGGCACGCTGGGCGCGGGCCTCCCTCCTCTCTGTCGTCGTCGTCGCCGTCGTCGTCGTCGCCGTCGTCGCCGTCGTCGTCGTCGCCGTCGTCGTCGCCGTCGTCGTCGCCGTCGTCGCCGTCGTCGTCGTCGCCGTCGTCGTCGCCGTCGTCGTTGCCGTCGTCGTCGTCTCAACTCCGGCAGGGGCTGGAGGCTGTACCTACCCGGAGATCCAACGTATGGAAAAAAATCAGCACGGAGGTTTTTCACAGTTTTAGGCCTCTAGGGGCCCTCGCCAGGCCCCAGGACCGTAACAAAAACGACTCAAGATGAAAAACCGGTCCCAGGGAATGAGTCGAGACTTCCGGGGACCCCGTGTTGAAAAAATCACGATATCGGATCTCTGGGTATCATCCTTCCCCCCCCCATGTCCAGACCAGTTCTCTGAGCGGCTTGCACCCCATCCCTTCCATTGAGGGGCAACGATGGGGGGAGGTAGGCATAATTAAGGGGGGAAGCATCGACCTGGAATCGGCGATAGATCGCCAATAGATCGGCAAGAGGCCCCCGATGGTGAATCCGCACGTTCCTGGGCAATTTGGGTCTATCCAGTCCCTATCGGCGATCAATAGGCGATTGGGGGTCGGTGCATTCCCCCCCCTATGCATATCCCCCTTATCGATGCCCCAGGTTATGTCTGTCCTCCTTCCACAATTCCTCCTAGTCCCCCCTCTAACCGTTTTCCACTCACCTCATCCCCTCCGCCCAGGCCCAGCCCTGCTCGTCCGCCCACCTTTCACCTCCTTGCGTGCTCCTTCAGAGAGGAGTTAAGACGTAGTCAAAGTCTCGGGTCCCTCTACGAGAGAAGCTGAACAACCGTACTGGTAGCGCAGAGCGTCAGATGCTGAACTACATGTGTCTGCGCACGTGAGCGACGGAAACGGATCGGATCGCCAAACGCAGGTACCGTGGACATCTGGCGAACAGGAAGAAAGACGCGCAAGTGCAAATGGTTCGTCGCTCCTCGCGCCTTTTGAACAATCACGTGGTAACCGAATAGGTGTCACACACAGAACGCCAATCCGCTTGCGTGTTGGCTAAATTCTGACCCGTGCACGCCACGCCCGGGCGCCTCGTTACCGTACATACCCTACGGCTGCTGCTGCTGCCGGGTTTAGAAATGCTTGGTGCTCCATCCTCATAAAACAAAACACGGACGGCGCGAAGTTTATTCAGACCCAATGCCTGTCACCCCGCACCCGCCCAAACAACATCACACGGGACGAACCAGAGCCAGTCGGATGTTCACTCTGCAGTTTCCGAGCCGATTCGCACAGCCTCTGCACCACGAGCTGGCCGCGCCACGCTCGCCATCTCAGTGCCCACTGCCGCTGCGCGATACAGCCTGCGGCGCAGCACCTCTTGTCGCGCTGCTCTTGTCGCCTCGAAGACGGGGGAGGAACAGGAAGAGCACAGCCGCGGCAGATCACAAGGATGCAGGGTGAGGACGCCAGACACTGGCGAGTCCAAACTTGAACGTTCTGTCAGCGCTGGCCGACGAAATTGTCCAGGGATAGGCCGAGAAAGCAAGAATGCAGGGGCAACCCCGAACAACCCATCGTCCTCGTGTGCGCGGCGGCCGCAAGAGACCATCGCGCAACGCACACGGGACCAGCCCCTCCGCCGTGGCGAAACCCAGAGTACGAACAAGAAACTTATCATTTGGGCGATTTCGGAAACCCTGACCCCAAAAACGTCATCTCTTGGGGACGCATGTTCTACCTCCGCCACCTTCCGCCGCCCTTCCGCCGGCTTCCGCCCGTGGAGGCGGCCTCGTTTCACTTCCGCCGACCTTCCGCCGCCGAAGAGATGACAACTCCTTCTGCGTGCTCGCGAAGGCAAGGCCCTTCTGGAAAGGCCCCATCTGCAAACCTGGGCCGCCATTCTGGAAGCCCCTCAAGACAAGCCCGTGCCAAGGGCTCGCGTTGCCAACGCTGGAGGGGCGCCCGCGCTCCCGAGACTGGGCCAGCCCTCCGGCGAGCCGGTCAAGGCTCGTCGGGAGGCGGTGCCTCCATCGGATGCTGCTCGGCCGTGTGCACCGACGCGCCCACGCAACGCCGTTCCGAAACATCCCCGACGGCCTCCCGCGCCCACCGCCGAAGACCACCCGACAGGCCTCCACACGAAGCTCCGCACGCCTCGGAAGACGATACCCCTCACGGCTATGACTGCCAAGCGATGGCTGCTATCCTTTTGTTTTGCCTCTCCTCCTGAGGCCGGGGGCGTGGGGCATCCGCCGCGCTCAGAGCTGCAGGTGGCCGGGGTACCCCAGAAGCCTGCCGGGCGCACAGCGAGGAGGGCGCAGGACAGAGAGGCAGACCCCTGGAGCGCAGAGCCCCGCAAACTCGCGAAGCCGAAGGGTACCTCTGCGACCCCTGCGATCGCAGGTGGGGCGCTGAGAGCCGGCAGCAGAGGACCGCACCACGGCACAAGCATACAGTAGGGGCCCGACCACAAGAAACCTTCCACAAGAAACCCAACCCTGAGACCCCAGGACGTTCATTGATTTTTGGTGTGGGAGCGTCGCGCTCCCCACGGCAAAACCATCGAAACCCAAGAAACCCAGGGCACCTTGCAAGCAAGCAGGGTGTTTCTTGGCATGGGTCTCCGGTGTACGTCTTTCGGAGGCCCGTGCGGAAATCTGGGTGGCGGCGCTGCCATCCCTCCCCACACTCCCCGGCGGCGCCTCCAGCGCCACCCAGGACCGACCCACGCCCAACCAAGAAGAACTCGGCGCGGACTTCCGAAAGTTGATGCTTAGGCAAGCGCGCTTTGGATGTAAATCTTCGGGCCCAGAGAGCGCAAGCGTGGCGCCGAAAGCCGACACAACACTTGGATTCTAAGCGCCAAGGGTGATCCAGCAGATGCGAGCCCTCCAAACGACAGTCCTGCCTGCCTGCGAGAGCCCCCCACGGCGCCTGCGCCGGCATCGGGCTCCCGGCCGGCGTCGACGGGCTGCCCACGGGAGGTGGCGTCCCCGACGACCTTGAAAGGCTCCCCGCCAGCGGCGGCGTCCTCGGCGGTGACGGCCACTTCACTCTGCTCGTAGAAGAGGAAAAACCGCCAGAGACATAAACTTTTGGCGCTCTGCGCGGATTTCTTGGATCTGCGCTGTACCCCCCCTCCCTGGCGCGCGGAGCGCGCCAGGGGCGGCGCCGGAGGCGCCGCCGGGGGGTCCCAGCGCGGATCCAAGAGCATCCCTGAGGAGCGCCAAAAGTGCATGTCTATGGCGTGTTTTCTCCTTCGAGCTCGGACTTCTCGCGAGCGGCGCCTGCGCCGGCGCTGCCCGCACCGGCGCTGCGCCGCCTGCTGGCCGCGGCCCTCTGGCCGGCGGCGGCCGCGGCGGCGTCCGCGCGGCGCGCGGCGTCCCCGCCGGGGGCGTCACCACCAGCGCCGGGGCGCCCGCGGGAGGCGGCCCCCGCGCGGGGGGCGGCGCCCCTGCTCGCGCTGCCCCTGCCGGGGCGGCGGGCCCCGCCGCCGGCGGCGGTGCCCCCGGCGCAGGCGGCCCCGCCGCCGCCGGCCGAGGCGCGCCTGCGGGCGGCGGCGGCGCTGCGGCCTGCGGGGGCGCTGCCCGCGAGGCGGCGGCGGCGGCCTCCGAGCTGCAGGCTCCGGCGCCGAGGCCCGCGGCAGGGCGGCCGGGCGCCGGGGGCGCCGGGCCGCGGGGGCTCGCAGGGCGGCTGGAGCTGGAGCTCGAGGAGGAGCCTCGGCGGGCGCCGCCCGTGCTGCACTGCCCGGTCCCGCTTCCCGGCCCCCGCCCCGCCGCCGCTCTGGTCTCCCCGCCCCCTCCCCTCCCTCCTCCCCTCCTCCTCCTCCTCCTCCTCCTCCTCCTCCTTTTCCCCCTCCTCCTCCCCTCCTCCTCCTTTTCCCGTCCTCCTCCTCCTCCTCCTCCTCCTTTTCCCCCTCCTCCTCCTCCTCCTCCTCCTCCTCCTCCTCCTCCTCCTCCTCCTCATCCTCCTCATCCTCCTCATCCTCCTCCTCTTCACGCTCCTCCTCAGGCAGTGGGAGGGGCTGCAGAGTTCGGACTCTGGCACCCTCTCACTTCGAAGGCCAGGATGAGCGCCAGAGTGGCTGCAGCTGCGCGTGGAGCTGTCCAAGGGCTGGCAGCTGACGTAGCAGCACGGGCAAAGCAAGGGGCCAATGGTGAGCCAAGCGGTGGCGGCCTCCACGTGTACCAGTTGGAGCAGGTGCTGGCTGTGGCCCAGAAGAGTGCAGGATTGCAGGACAACTCCACTGAGGCCCGTGCCAAACAGCTCTTGCGGTGCAGGCGCCCCTAGAGTGGCGCCCAGGGTCGGCAGAATCGACAAGACTGGGAACGAGGAGGAATACGTCCAAATCCTGTATGACATCTGCCGAGCACTCAATCAGCAGCGCGCCGGTACGACCAAGAAGGTGGACTCAGAGAAGACCACGGACTTCAAAGAGCTCGCCATGAAGCTCGCGCAGTTCGAGGAGCAGTTGCAGCGCTAGTTCATAGCGGAACAGGTCGAGACCCAGCAGAAGCAGTTGGAGCAGACTGTCAGCCTCCAGAAAGACCAGCAGGAGAAGCTGCACGAGAAGGAGAACAACGAAGCTTGCAAGACGGCGGAGCTTTTCAGCCGGCTGCAGCTGAACATGGAGGCGGCTTTCGAAGTTCGCAGGCCTCGCCGAGGAGCTGGGGACGGAGCAGAAGAAGCGCCAGCAGCACATGGAGAGCACATTTGTTCGAGAGCGAATGCGAGACCATGGCGAAGATCGACGACCTCGGGGAGCGGTTCCACAACATGCTACAAATACAAATAGTGGTCATGCTGCAGGGCCGCGTCCAGGCGTGGGGTTTTCGACGGCCACACGGGAGAGCCACTGAGGTGGCCTCCCCTCCTCTTCATCCTCCTCCTCCTGCTGTACCGTTGACTGGACTCTAGCAACGAAGCTGCAGCGCTCATGCGGCAAATGGTGGCACCCAAAAACAATTAAAGAACCTGGGTGCAGAAATAAGCGGCACAATGGGGTACGCGGAGAAACGGGAAAAGCGGAGAGCCCGCGAGGAAAACGAGCATTAGATCTGCAGGCGCCCTCCTCCTCCTCCTCCTCCTCCTCCTCCTCCTCCTCCTCCTCCTCCTCCTCCTCCTCTGGAAAGCGGAGGGCCAGCGAAGGCAAATCTTACTAGATCTGCAGGCCTCCTCCTCCTCCTCCTCCTCCTTCTCCTCCTCTCCCTCTTCCTCGTGGGCCGAGCCGTGAGAGGGACGCTGCACTGGTGAAGCCCAGCTGCAGCAGCGGCAGCAGCGGCAGCCCCAGTGGACGGCGCTCCGCTAGGCTAGCGGCTAGGAGGGCTGCAAGACAATTGCGGAGCGGATGTGCCAAGGTTGGCGTGGAGAGCCTGACTTGGCGGCGCGCACAAGGGGGAGGGGGGCGGGGGGGGAAGGCCTCTCAGAAGGAGGCTGCTTCTTAGAAGGCGCCGGCCCTCACATCTACAGACAAGGCCCGCGCCCTCTAAGAAGCACTCCCCCCTCCCCCTATCCTCCCCTCCTGGCGCGTGGCCGACTGACCCACCCTGTGCAATTGTGGGAGAGGAGCGACCCGTGGTTGTCCGTCGTTCGGATTGTAGCGTGTGTAAACCTCCTCCTCCTCCTCCTCCTCCTCCTCCTGAGCCCCCTCCTCCTCCTCTTCCTCATCGTCCTGACCCCCCCCTCTTTGAACGCAATTCCCACTTCAAACGTGGACGTTCCCGCCCAACGCGATCTCCAGAAGAGAACCGCGAGGTGCAGATCTGGCGACCACAACCCAGACCACTCATGAGTTTCCACAGCCGTGTGCTCCACTTGAAATGCGCACGGGGCGCCACAACAGAAACAGGATGGAAGAACTATGATGTATCAAAGGTCAGGGCAAAAGGTAGGACACTGTTCCCACAGAGAGAAAGCCGCAACTTGTCCCGCTCACTACGATCCACTTTCCCGAAGCAAGGAAGCATTTCCATCATGGACCACAACCGGGATCCCCCAAGGACAGAACAGGGTCGCCGGTGTGGGCGCCACGTGCGCCAAGTGCGTCTGGGCCCCCGTGTGCGCCAGGCGAGGAGCCACATGCGCAGGGTGCGCCAGGTGCTCCAAGTGATCCAGATGCGCCTCCTCCTCCTCCTCCTCCTCCTCCTCCTCCTCCTCCTCCTCCTCCTCCTCCTCCTCCTCCTCCTCCTCCTCTCCCCCTCCTCCGCCCTCCTCCTCCCTCCTCCCTCCTCCCTCCTCCTGCTCCTCCTCCTGCTCCTCCTCCTCCTCCTCCTCCTCCTCCTCCTCCTCCTCCTCCTCCTCCGCTGGAAGCGCCAAGAGTTTCGCAGAGAATTGCGCGAGGTACCAGAGGATGAGCTGCACGTCGCGACTGGTGGTGCGATTCTGCCCGGGCGGCAAAACATTGGACCCAGCCCCCACCCGCCCAGGGTGAGCGAGTGCGGGTGCTGCGCAAAACTGCAGCTGTCTAAGCTTGCTCTGTCTGGCAAGTATTGGGCGACTTAAATCTTCCTAGCGCTCGCGCTGAGCAGCCTGCGGCCGACCTGGCAGGCGGGAGGAGGTACGAGCAGGATGGAGGGGGAGGCCACGACCCCGACGAGGGGGGGGGGGTAGGGAGGCAAGGCGTGCGAGCACACGCGAATGTACAACAACGCCTCTGGTGGCCCGATCTGCCCCGATGGAGCTACGGCTGCCTCGGGCGGCGTGGCTGCGTGCGCGAGCCCGCGTGGACTGGCGCAGCGGCGGTCGAGCCCGAGTGCCCACGGATGAGCTCCGAGGCGGTCTGTCGCAGCCCGTGAATGTACTACTCGACCCGCGAACTACAACACATGGGCGCGCCGAGGGGAAACGTGTAATTACGTGCGTCAATGCGTGAGAGCATGTGTGTATCTGTGTGTTTGTGTGTTCGTGTGTTGTGTGTTTGTGCGTTCGTGTGTTAGTGTGTGAGCGTGTGCGTGTGCGTGTGCGTGTGCGTGTGCGTGTGCGTGTGCGTGTGCGTGTGCGTGCGCGTGCGCGTGCGCGTGCGCGTGCGCGTGCGCGTGCGCGCGTGCGCGCGTGCGCGCGTGCG